AGTGACGTTGGGACATGGAGGAAACCGGGAACAAGAGCGGCTCCGAGGCCGATGTGGACCCGCCATTGGAACAGGGCAGCCGGGAACAGCAGGTAACACCCCACACCCAGCCCGGCCCAGCCTGGCCTGCCAGGACGAGACCCAGCAGGGCCCCAGACTGCATTTCCAGCCCAAAGGCGGAAGAGGCTTGGGAGTGAGGGGTAAAGGGCATCAGTCTGTCGAGTTTTGGCAGGAGCAGTGGAGTTCTCACTGGGGACCCTGTGTGTTTCAGAGCGTGGTGACCCGTGTGGCCAGCCTGCCCCTGGTGAGCTCAGCCTGCGGCGCGCTGTCCAGTGCCTACAGCAGCGCCAAGGAGAGCGCCCCCTACCTGCGGGGCGTGATGGACGCGGCTGAGAGCGGCGCAAGGACTCTGGGTGCCGCCGCTGCCTCTGGCTCCCGGCCCCTGCTGGACCGGCTGGAGCCCCAGCGTGAGTCTGTTCGAGAACGCCCCGCCGATCTGGAGCGGCCCTGAGTCTGGGCTCCCAGGGTGAACAGATCAGTGCTTCCCCTCAAGAGCAGGACAGAGCTGGTACAGCCTGGAAGTCAGCTGTGTCCTTGCAGTCAGCCCTGTCTCTCAGGGCCCAGCAGACGCAGACAGTCAGGGTTTGGAAGCTGTGCCACCTGATGCCCAGACTGGCAGACTGGAGCAGCTGCAACATTGTGCAAGACTGCTTCTGTAATCTCACCCCTGTTCCACATACCAGGCACTGCCAGGGAGAGAGTGGGAGACAATGACCTTCAGTCTCCATTCCGGTCTGCACTCTCAGCCACTGTCATCTGGGCTCAGGTCAGGATGGGAACACGGGCAGAGAAAGTGCTCTTCACTAGGACACTGGGATTTCCGCCCCGGTTCCTGAGCTGTTCTCTTCTTTATCCCAGCTTGTCTTGAAACTGTTGTGTGTGTCTGTGAGCCTGATCAGTGACCCTGCCTTTCTTGCAGTCACTGTGGTGAATGAATACGCCTGCAAGGGTCTGGACAGGCTGGAGGAGAAGCTGCCCATCCTGCAGCAGCCCACAGAGAAGGTGAGAGCTCTGTGTCTGCCCATCTGTGTGCTCAGCAGCTCTATCCTGGGGTCTCTCTGAACAGCCACACATGACAAAATACCTCATGTTTTTTACATACATTTTGTAGTTCTGTTTAAGAAAATTCAATAAGAAAATTAGGACATTCAGGTGTAAAAAACTTCTAAAAAGTCTGAAACAAATTTATAGTTTAGCAGATGTTGCCATACCAACGCAAAATGTAGTAGAGCAATGCACTTTGTAACACTGAACTGTCTCCGAGAGGACTTCTCTATGGAAACCTCTAAATGTTTTGCCAAAACTGAAAAGTAGCCAGCAGGGTGGGGAATGAGGAATCAGATCATGATCACCTCCCGTCCTCCCCTCTCCCAGGTGGTGGCCGACACGCGAGAGCTGGTCAGCAGCGTCCAGCAGTCGGTCTCGCAGTCGGTCTCCGGAGCCAGGCAGGCCGTGACTGGCGCAGTGACGGGTGCAGTGGGCGTGGCCAAGGGGGCGGTGCAGGGCAGCGTGGACGTGACCCGCGCGGCCGTCAGCGGGGGGGTCAGTACCATGATGGGGTCAAGGGTCGGCCAGATGCTGTCGAGCGGAGTGGACCTGGCGCTGAGCCGATCGGAGGAGTGGGTGGAGCAGCTCCTGCCGCTCAGCCACAGGGAGCTGGGTGAGTGCGGGCCGCGGGCTGCCGGGGAGCAGGTCGAAGGTGTCGGATCGATGGCCTGAGTGTCGCGTCTCTCTCTCTCTCTCAGCTGCGCTGTCGGAGCCGGTAAGCGGCGGGGAGGCAGGGCCTCCGGCGGCTCAGCAGAGCTACTTCGTGCGTCTGGGCACCCTGTCGGCGAAGGTACGTCAGCGGGCGCTGGAGCTGTCGCTGGGCCGTGCCCGCCGTGCCCATGAGAGTGCGCTCAGCACCCTGGCGAGCCTCACCACCACCCTGGACCTCATCGAGCGCACCAAGGCAGCGCTGAGCAGCGCCACGGACCGCCTAGGGGGTGCTCAGGAGCAGCTCCTGCAGCACTGGGCCGAGTGGAAGGAGGGCCAGCCAGGAGGGAAGGAGGCAGAGGAGGACAAGGGGCAGATGCAGAGTGACGACCATGTGGAGGTATTTGGAGAGGGACTGGGGCTGTAATAACTGTTTCACTCTGTCATTCTCACTGCTGTTCTGCTTGTTGAGTGGACTGCACGTCTGTCTCTCAGTCTCTCTGTCTGCCTCTCTCTGTTTGTCTCCCTGCCTCTGCCTGCCTGTCTGCGTCAGTGAAAGCTGTTCTGCCTGACAGTCTGCCCGTCGAGGAGGGCGCTCTGCAGTGTCCACAGCTGCAGCTGTACTCACCTCCTCTCGCTCCGTCTGTCTGCAGTTGGAGGGCCGTGCCCTGTCGATGGCGCGGGGCCTGAGCGCCCAGCTGCGAGCGGCCTGCAGTGGCGTGGTGTCCACTGCGCAGGGGCTCCCCGTGTCGGTACAGGAGCAGGTGGCCGCGGCGCTGCGGGCGGCCGAAGAGCTGCAGGCATCTCTGGGTGGAGCCACGTCCTTCTCCAACCCCCTCTTGGCACAGAGCCGTGCTCGCATGGCACAGGTGCGCCAGTCTGTGGATGCCACCATGGAGTACCTGCTCAACAACACCCCCCTCAACTGGCTGGTGGGGCCCTTCTCTCCCCAGATCACAGAGAAATCTGAGGAAGGGGAGCAGGGGGTCCCCCAGAGCCAGGGGCAGTAAGGGGGGGACACACACAAGAGTGCTTGCAGAGTCAGTTCCTTCCGCCCAACTGTTCAGCCATTCGTATTCTCTGTCTCGGTACACGCAAGGCCTGCGAGTGCAGTGTCTGCTATCCCCTCTCCCCTCTCCCTGTCAGACGTGTTAACAGGCCCTCCTTTCCCTGGTTGCAAGACTCAGTGCTCGGCTGTGTCTCACTGCATGGCTCCCAGTCTGGCATCTCCACTGTGTTAAACTGCTGTGTACTGCCCTTCCACAGGGAAAAAGCAGTGACAATACAGAGCACAAAGAGGAGCACACAGGCAGTTCATGATTGTCTTTCCCTGTACATGCAGGGCCTGAAGCAGATGCTCTTGTAGAAAGCTGTTAAATGTGTGGGAACAAGTAATAGGTTTATTCCGTGCTGAAGAGAGAAGAAAGAAAACAACGTTTCGTCTGTGGAGACTTCTTCAGGTCACACCTGAAGAAGGCTCCAAGGCCGAAACATTGTGTTTTCTTTCTACTCTTTTCAGCATGGAATAAACCTACTGTTCCTTTGCAGCCTATGAATGCTGATGCGGCTACCCACCCAAAATGTGTGGTAAAACTGGCAGATAGTTTAGGTTTAGTTTTTCAACAGTGATATCAGTATTTCCACTGTTAATCATGTTAGCCTTATTTAGTGCTGCATCTGCTTTAACAGTTTTCTTAATATGAATTTAAAGAACATGAACTGCAAGTAATTAAAGTGTTTTCCTTTTGAAATCTAAGTATAGTGCTGCCCTCCAGTGGACATAAGCAAAACAGCAACGGTGAAGTGTCTGCTTGCTCTGAGCTCCATCCACACTGTTCTATTTTTTAATCCTGCACCAAGAAAATTGATTTAATATAGTCAACATAAATCATTCCAGGCTTTTTATACATCTCTTTAATTATTTTTTAGTTCCAAAAACAAGTAGTTAACAGATCAAGCAGTAGGCCTAGTGAACTGTAGAATCTCTGTTCCAACCAACAACCTTTAATCTCCAATGTAGTGATGTAACACCTGCAGCAATTACAGTGAGCCTGCTGATTATTATATTAACATAATTGGAAAATGACCATTTGAGTTTGTCTGCAGTGAATGATCCACAATTTCAAAAGATCTTAGTTTAAGGCAGGCTGGTCAAGCTGCAGTCATGCAAGACCATTCCTGCTCTTTTCATTGGCTTAAATGTGATAAATCTGAGCTCATCCCATCTGACCAGGGCTGCCACCATGATTTCAATTATACACCTCTCTTTTTTAAGGACCACCTCTTTATTAGTTATTTATATTACTTTGTGATGTTTTTACAAATCACTGTGCACATCCGTCCAGCAGCCATATCACCCTGCAACTCACAACTGGCAACCTACTGAAGCTAAGCAGGTGTGAGCTTGGTCAGTACCTGGATGAGAGACCTCCTGGGAAAAACTAAGGATACTGCTGGAGGAGGTGTTAGTGGGGCCAGTAGGGGTGTAACCCCAGCATCCTGGCCAAATTTCCCATTGGCCCTCACCAATCATGGCCTCCTAATAATCCCCCTCCATGAATTGGCTACTTTACTCTGCTCTCCTCCCCACTGATAGCTGATGTGTGGTGAGCGTTCTGGCGCACTATGGCTGCCGTCGCATCATCCAGGTGGATGCTGCACATTGGTGGTGGTGGAGGGGAGACCCCATTACCTGTAAAGCGCTTTGAGTGGAGTGTCCAGAAAAGCGCTATATAAGTGTAAGCAATTATTATTATCTATGGAATGAGAGTAATACTGCTCCATTCAATACCTGGGTCCTCTATCATTCCTGCACTTGTTACTGACTCAATTGTGTCAATTAGGGATCTTATGCCCACTTTCCTTAGTTTCAGTTCTTACAAACGCTGCTGGGCTCATGATCCAGGGGAGGTGCAGACCTCTGTGATTTGCAAGCATGGGTTTCTACTGATCAGCACAGCTGCACACTGCCAGGCAGTACATCTGGCTCAAGCGCATATAAACCTTGCAGTGCACCAAGAACAGGAATCCTTTAAATACCGTTACATAACATATATCTGCAGAATTTTTGCATGCTTTAATGAACAGTATTTCCCTTCTCTTGAAATGTTTTCTCTCTCTTTTTTTGCTTGAGGAGCACAGACAGTAAACCTTGACTCAAATAAATCACTTTAAAACAACACTGTATTCTTGACTCTGTGTCCATCTGCACACTGTGGGGCTCTGTAGAAGCAGGCTGCATGCAATGTGGCAGGGTTCAGAGGAGGTGAATGTCTGTTTATATGCTTCTGTACCAGGATTTGGCCACCATCATCATGCTCCTGCACTGTGAAAAGGCAGCTTTTTTAGGTCTTTATCTGAAAACTTTTAGCTACATTTCACCCTGAGTTTCACCATAAGGTAGCAGTGCAGAACCAGAAGTATTATCAGAATCCAATTAAACAAAAGGTACAAAGTGACCAATTTCATTGCAGAATGAATACCCATCAATCAATACAGACATGGGTATCCCTATCCTATATCCAATTAATTACCACTGATGAACTATACTTAACAGTTGAGTTTATTGATCACTCATTCATGCCAGCAAGTGACATTTGTGAAGTTCTAGTGAATTAACGAATCAAAGATACAGGGGCCAAGAATTACAAGTTCAAATGTATTCTTGACATCAGCTCGAGCCTGCAGAAGTACATAAAGAACACACATCAATCAAAGCTTTCTTCATTAAAAAAATCTATTTTTCCAAACTCACAGGGGTTTTGTTCATTCCAAAAAAACAAAAACAAGAACAAAACAAAAACAAGTACCAAAATTAAAACATGGCATTTAGTGGGGGCTCCATCATGAGTGAGACAAACCAGAGAAGACCAGGGTCAGTGAAGCTGGAAGAGATTGGGGAAAAAATTCCTATGGGACACAAGAAGGTAACTTTCGGCTCCAGCCCCCCTCCCGACCGTTCATAATTGATTTGGTTTTCCACTTAATTAAAATGTTACCAGTGCTCATTAGTTTCCACAATGGACACAAGCCTAACACCTCAGACATAACTAATCCTTTGGGCCAGAAACCAGAACCATCCCTTCCTCTGGTGAGGGTACACCAGTCTGCAGTAGTTCTGCTGGCTCAGAAGGACTTCCAGCTCTCACACCCGTTTTTCAAGCAGACAACCAACAGTGCCATCCCTCGTCCTCTGGCTGAGCACGGTGACTGCACATTGAAACATTTAAGTTTAAGACACTTACATAACAGCCCCACCTGCCCCCTTTGAAATATTTCTGATCCAGGTCAATGCGCCATCAACGCAATCCCTGTCTGTACACAGTCATTCTCAGTTTGCTGTGGGGAGGTTTGGAGCACGTCTGTGCTCACAAGGGGGATTGAGGAGAAGTGGAGGGTAGTTGTATAAAAGTTGAGTTAAATGAAAAATGGACTGTTAAAAACAGGCAGTACATCTGGCTGAGATGAGAGCCCAGATTTGCCCAGTTTTGTTTTTTTTCCATTTGTTATAAATATTCTTCCTCCCTCGATGCTCTGCACTCCAGGTGACCTCAGCTCTGCACAGCAGACGGCTCTGTCTCAGTGGAAACGGGGCGATCCCGGTCTATGATGTCATCTGTCTGCAAGACGGCAGGTCTCTCCGGACTGGAGCTGAATGGGAGAGTAAGTCACAAGAGGATTGCTCCACTGTCCTGTCAATGTGTGCATTCGATTTGTGAGAGACAGCCAATGCGTAGCTCACCCAAAAAAATGAGAATGAGGGGAGGGAGAAAAAGTTGAAGACTCACCTGCTTGTGGGAGCAGCTGTGGGCTCAGGGTTTTCATCTTGATCATTTGACTTGGGGCTGTTTGCTAATTCACTGTCTGCTTTTTGTGGCTCAGTTTCACCGTTCACTGGTGTGGTTTCTAAGCAAAAAAAAAACCACATCAAGACCGACAAAAGGAAGAAAATAACAGAAAAAAAAGAAAGGAGGGGGAGAGCTATTTACCCGAGTTGTGCTCCTCGTCTTTGCTAGGCTCCTCCTGGCTCTTGGTCTCCAATTTTTGTTTGAGCACCCCCTCTGCCTTACCAAGGAACTGCAGCTTGAGCTTATTGTAGACCTGTGTGGCCTTCTCCATCACCTCACTGCTCGCTTTGTACCGCCGGATCTGCGCAAGAGCAGGACAGATGTTCGCGTCAGTCAATATACACAGCCAACACAGAGATGGCAGGAGCAGCAGACAACTTCGGCACAGACCTTCTTGAGGGTGGCCACTACGTCTGTATTCTTCTGCAGTATCTGGCTGGTGACCTGCACTGAGCCAAGTTCCTCCAGAGCCTGCAGACAGCGCTGCACATCCTGACTCCCAGAGAGGAAAAGAACAGCAGTGCGGTCAGTGTGGTACAACTGAAAGCTGTCAGAATGGCCAATGTGCTCAAAGCCATAGTCACTCACAGGATTGTCCACCTTCAGTGCAAACTTGATGTCAGTGTGGAGCTTCTGCAGCTTCTCCTCAGGAGACGGCTCTGTGGACAGACAGGCAGGCAGGAGACAGGTCACTGCAAACCTCAATTACAAACAGAGACAGGGATAAGGAGCAAGAGCATCCCCAACGCAGGCACAGCAGCACCTGAGAAACACAACTGGGTGTCGCTGGGCCTGGGTGGAAACTGCCTGTTACTGAATGAGTAAAGCATTACAGAAGTCGCTGAAGTAAGAAACCCTGTATTACAGGTAACAGGATTGAGCAGGAAGGCCTCCAGCAGTACAAGCGCTGCTGTGCGAGTCACTGGCAGAGACCGTGCTGATGTCCATCCCTGCTGCAGCTGTGTTTCCCTGTTTGCAAGTTTCTGAAAAGCACCAGTAGGTACATGAGGGCACCCACTCACCTTTCTTTTTCTCCACTTTTTTCTCAGGGGGCCTCTCCGGCTTCCTCTTGACCTTGTCCAACTTGGGAGGCCTGTGGGGTGAGACATCACCTCAGGACATTAAACCAACAAAAATCCTTCCAGTCTGAATGCCTATCAGCTGGCTTGTTTCTTGCTCACAAACATAAAGAATATCAATATTTAGTTCAAACATTAATCTCACGGAGTCTTGAGAGTCTCAGAGGAAGTCAGGACACTTCTAAACAAAGCTCAGAGTCTGAATAACAGAAGACACTTGGTTTTGAAAGGACAGATTATTCCGTCTGTTGAGTATGAGAGTTTTGTACATGTTCTTCATAGGTTAATGACGACTCCTGTGCCAGAGGTGAAAGCTGGTGGTGTGAGCTGGCACTTATGGGGCTGCACGCAGAGGGAGAGTCGAAGCCAGAATATTGTCTAAACCAGAGGTTCTCAAACTGTGGTACACGGACCGGCAGTGGTACGCGGAGTGCCACCAGGTGGTACGCCAAATGACCCTGGAACTGTGTCGTGTGTGCCGAAAAATTGGGACAGGTTTTCATATTTGATTTAATACATATTTTAATACATGTTGAATATGAAGCCTACGTACTACGATACAGTGTGCGCTAATACTTCAGTGGACACAAGAGATACTCTGGTATTCTATACCATTCTATAGGAATGCGTGCTACGGAAGCAAGTGACCAATTCTATTTAAAAAAAGCTACTGTATCTCCAGCAAATAGGGAGGAAGGAGAATGTGCGTGATTTTGGAACAATGCCAACGTTGTAAACACAGGAATGCATAGAAATGCGAGCTACGAACGCTGGTGATCTTGTGAGCACAGGAAAGCATGATAGATAACAGAAAAATATTTAAGAACTGTTCAAATTAATTTGAGAAAAATACACCAAGCGTCCCTGTGTTTCGCTCCCATGCGCATGAAATAAAAACTTAAATACTGAAATAAAAACGGAAACGCAGAAAAACGCAAGCTTGCGGATTGCTAAAGCAGGTAAGCAACACTGTTTGAAGAACCTTAGTTACCGTTGACAAAAGAGCTGACACGTATTATGTGTGGAGAAAAAGCTGCTAAACAGCTCGACCTGCTGCCCCCCCCGAAAGACACAGTCATTCATAGAATTATTGAAATGAAGGGTTGTGTCAAAAGTACACTGATAGAGCGCGTTAAGATGAGCAGATGTTTTTCACTGCAATTAGAGGAGTCTGTAGTCGATTTAGCCAATTTGCTCGTTTACGTTAGATACGAGTTGGAGGGCATGTCCCACGAAGACTTTCTGTTCTGTAAACCGCTACCAACAGGAACTACAGGAGAGCACACATTTCAGCTTCTGAATGAATTTATAGAAGAGAATGACATCGACTGGATAAAATGTGTCGGAGTTTGTACAGATGGTGCTAGAGCGATGACAAGCCGACACAGCGGTGTAGTTGCACGAATTAGAGAGGTTGCTGCAGAAATGAATGGGCGCATTGCAACATCCACCGCGAGACCTTTGCCGTCAAGAAAATGCCTGACGATTTAAAATCTGTTAGACTATTGTGAATTGTATCAAGGCTCAAAAAAATAATTCACATCTGCTTTGCTCGACTAAACAGACTCACCCCTCTCACTGAAATGGTGCTTTTTTATTAGTAGTTGTTACTTTTTTTTTCTGTAAAACACTTTGAGAAGCCACCTTTAAAGGCACTATATCAAACAAAGTTTATTATTATAATATTTATTATATGTATGTGTGTGCACGCGTGCTCATGTTGGTCATTGAGAATTTCTGGGGTTCCTGTGAGATGATGACTTGTAGGTGGTACTTGGATGCTTTGGTTGGATTAGGGGTGGTACTTGGTCCAAAAAGTTTGAGAACCACTGGTCTAAACTGTGTCCAGATCCTGAGGGAGCCTGTGTCCACCATCACACTGCTTTTCAAGTGCAGATAATTTCTGTTTGCTACAAATTAAGATTTTTTCCATTTTATTTTTCAATATACTCCCCGTTGCCATTGGAGACACTAATTTCATCACCTTCTGTCCTCAACCCTTCCTCAGTGACTCCTGCAGGAAACAGACTCTGAAAGGTTTGTGAAGGCATCGCCATCACTCTCACCTCCCACGTGGCTTCTCCTCCGATCGCTGGTGTCTCTTCTCCTTTCTGTCCCTGCCCTCCTCCTTCCTCGGCCTCCCTTTCTTCTTGCCCTCCGGCCGCTTGGCTGCTTTCTTCACCTGGGAGAGACGGGCGGAGCACAAGAAAGTCAGACAGATGCATCCTAAACCTCCAGAGTGTGGAGGCAGGCAGCCTGAGAGGGAGCCTGACGGCGACGAGGACAGAAACAAGCCGACGGACAGACTGACCTCGGGACGTGGGGGGGAGTCGGAGTCTGAGTCAGAAGGGGCGGGGATTGGAGGTGGTGGCGGCTTCTTGCTCTTCTTGATTGGCTGATCATCATCCACACCCTCATCAGAGCTGCTGTCGCTGCTCGGCCTCTCTCTCTCCTTCTTCCTCTTCTCCTCCTCCTCTTTCTCCCTCTCGCGCAGCCGCCGCAGCTCCTCGGCCTCCTCCCTGCGCCTCCTCTCCTCCAGCTCCCGGCGCCGCTCCTCATCCCGCCGCTTCCACTCGCCAATCCGGTCCGGCTCGCTGTCGCTGCACGGAGAGGCACACGCTTCTTCAGCGTCGGCACAGAGCGCAAACCTGCACAGCGCGTCTGGGACCGAATCACGGCATCAGGAAACAAGCTGCCCCGTGCAGTTCCGCTTCTCTCAAGAAGCCAAGTTGGCAACAAGAGGGCATCTGGCCCATCTAACCTGTCTGGGTTAAAGGAGATATGCAGATCAATCAGCCACTAACAACCAGACAGGCTGGACAGGCCAAATGGCTCCTCTCATTTGTATCCTTTTTTCTAAGGACAGAAAGAAGAAACTTATGGAGGGAAAGAAGAAGGCCAGGAGGATAAAGAAAGGGGAGAGACTAACCTGTCGCTGCTGGAGGAGGAGGAGGAGGCGGCGGCGGCGGCTCTGGCTGGCGCTGGCTTTGGTTTGCGACCACGTGGCTTTGGGGGGGGCTTATCTGCAGCTGGGGAAGAGACAGTAAGTCAGCACTCACACATCGAGTCTGGGACACACACGTCTGCGCTCACGCACATCTGGACTGTCCCGCTTTGACTGCAGTTCTCCTGATTAAACCCTGTCCTGACCACTTGGCTCACTAAAGGACCCACAGCATTTTTCAGAAGGGCAAGGGTATCATACCCTAAAATCCTCCCTTCATTCAGAACTTCTCACGTCTCCATCTGACCTGCTGATGCACACTGGCACCCAGTCAGAGCTGCACTTCAGCCCTGGGTGAAGTGGGCCCCCTCCTGTACCCCCACGCTACATCAAGAGGCCGGAAGCCCAGCTCACCCCACTGCCTCACCTGGTTTGCGTCCTCGCTTGCCCTTCTTGACAGGCTTGTCCGAGTTGGAGTCGGACTCAGATTTGGATCCGGACTCAGATTCAGACCCAGACAGGGCTGGGCGTGGTTTCTCGTCATCACTCCTTCCTCGCTCCACCTCCGATTTAGAGTTGGAGTCCGAGTCGGACTCGGAGGTCTGCTTCTGAAGAGACCGAGGAAGAGGGCAGAGAGACGAAGAGCTCACTCAATCATACTAAAAAGACCACAAAATGCCTAAAAGTGTTGCCAACATGCCTTGCAAAAGCATTCAGACCCTTGACCAATCCTCTCATTTTATGGAATTACAAATCCTACATTTAAATTTAGTTCTCTGTGATATTTTTATTTCTAAGCACTGAAGCTAAATTAAAAAAAAAATTATTTTAATGTGACATTGTTTTGTATTAGGAAATATTCTCAAGAAAAATAAAAAACTGAAATATGTTGTTGGCATAGGTTTCCAATCACTGTGTTCCGGAGGGTCTAAGTTTACACGGGTGAAAAACATTGGCCCTAATGAGGACACAATTACCCTCTACCTGTGAATAATTAAAATAACTGCCACATTTTCCGGATAAAAACCCCCACAGTTAACGGATCATTATTCAGGTTGTGAATCTGAAGGACAGCTGTGAAAATGAAGACTAAAGAGCATTTCAAAGAATGGAGGGATAAAGTAAAACAAACGCATAAATAAGGAAATGAGTACAAAGCAATATCCAAGTGTTTGGATGTCCCAGTGGGCACTGTTGGTCCAATTATCAGGAAGTGGAAGCTACATCAAACCACCCAGACACTGCCTAGAAAAGGTCATCCCTCAAAACTCTCTGCGTGAACAAGGAGGGCTGAGAGAAGCCACAAAGTGGCCAACGATTACTATGAAGGAGCTCCAGGGTTCAGTAGCTGAGAGCGGAGTGAAGGTGCACCAGTCAACCATATCAAGAGCTCTGCATAACATTAGGATGTATGGGAGGGTGGCACAGAAGAAGCCTTTACTCAAAAAGAACCATGTGAAAGCACATCTGGAGTTTGCCAAAAAGCATGATAGTGATCCAGTTGTGATGTGAGAAAAGATTCTATGGTCAGATAGAGCTTTTTAGCCAAACTTCAACGAGATGTGTAGTGCAAATCTAACACTGCCCACACCTCAAAAAACACCATACCTAAAGTGTAGTATGGTGGTGGTAGCATCATGCTGTGGGGATTAGCAGGGGTCGGGCATCTTGTTAAAATAGAAGGAAGAATAGATGGTGCAAAATAGAGGGAAATACTGCAAGAAAACCTGTTTCAGTCTGGTAAAAAAACGAAGCTTTGGAGATAGTTCAGCTTTCAGCAGAACAATGATCCTAAACTCAAGACCGATGTAACATTGGAGTGGCTCAACAACAAAAAGGTGAATGTCCTACAATAGCCAAGTCAAAGCCCTCATCTCAATCCAATTGAGAATCTGTGGCACTATTTGAAAATTGCTATAATACAGTGGTCAGACAGGCCCTTGATGAAACTGCCCCGTTAAAGACTAAGGTAGTCAAAGCCACTAGACACACTCCATGGTATAATGATCACAGACAATCCCTTAAAAGGAGTGCCACAAATGAGAGCGCAAATGGAGGTCTACTGGTCTACAAGTATTCAAGTCAGCATGGACTGATAGCCTACAGCAATATAAAAAAGCCCTATACAGAGCTCGTTCAGTCTACTACTCTGAACTGATTGAAACCAATAAAAATAATCCTCGCTACCTATTTAAGACAATACCTAATCTTACAAATAAGACCGATTCTATAGCACCATCTAACTTCAGTAGTGACGATTTCATGAACTTCTATAAAGATACAATTAACACCATCAGACTTCAAACAATCAAATAAGCCACAAAGAAGTCTAGTACAGAAACAATATGAGCACCTCTTTAGTGTTTTTCAATTAGTTAATGAACAACAACTCAAGAAATTAATTAAGACAAAGTCCACCACCTGTCTGCTAGATCCCTTCCCCACTTAGCAAGTCAAAGATCCCCTCAAAGTACTGGCAGGACCTATAATTAGTATGATAAACACGTCCCTTGCATCAGGCCTTGTACCTTATCAATTTAAGGTAGCAGTTGTTAGACCACTCCTTAAGGAGCCAAATTTGGATCCACAAGTTCTTAACTACAGGCCTGTCTCAAACGTCCCATTTCTAAAATTCTTGAGAGAATAGTTGTGGCCCATCTTCAATCGTATCTGGACTCAAATAATATACTTGAGAAATTCCAGTCTGGTTTCCACCCAGGCCACAGCACTGAAACTGCATTAACAAGAGTCATAAATGACATTCTATTAGCTACTGATGCAGGGAATGCAACAGCGCCTGTGGTTCTAGATCTTAGTGCTGCCTTTGACACGGTTGACGACTCCGTTTTGATAAACAGGCTTGAGTTTGAGGTTGGCTTATGTGGAACCATCCTTAAGTGGTTTACTTCATATTTAACTAACAGTTTTCATTATGTTCAAATATCTAATAATTGAACTGCTTCGTCAATGTCACCAGTTCAATTTGGGGTACCACAGGGTTTAGTGCTGGGACCAATATTGCTCTCCCTCTACATACTGCTGCTAGGTAGGATAATACAAAAACATAATATTTACTTTCATTCACATGCTGATGACACTCAAATATACATTTCGTTCACACCTAACGACAACTCTTCTATTATCACTTTAGTTAATTGCATTAATGAAGTAAGACTTGGATGTGTGAAAACGTGTTACTCAATTCTGATAAAACCGAGGTTCTGTTGTTTGGAGGTAACAATACTGATAGGACTACTGTAACTTCAGCACTTAACTTGGGGGATTTAAAAATATGCCTCAAAGACTCGGCACATAACCTAGGCGTCATATTAGACACAAGACTCTCATCTAACTCTCATGTTAAAACAGTATCAAAAACATGCTTCCTACAGTTAAGAAATATTGCAAAACTAAGAGTTTCTCTCCACACAAGACACAGAGAAATTAATACATGCTCATGTATACAGCAGATTAGACTACTGCAATGCCCTACTATCAGTGAGCACCCACTACTCTTTCAACACCTTACAGCAAATTCAGAATGCAGCACCTGGAACTGTTACTAGGAGCAGAAAGTACGACCATATAACCCCAATACTTAGCTCTCTTCATTGGCTTCCGGTCAGGTACAGGGCGGACTTCAAAATCCTACTTACAAGGCTCGCAGAGGTCAGACACCTGTCTGTCTAATGTAACTTATTAATGTTTACCATCAAAGTCGCCCGCTTAGATCACAGAATGCAGGTCTCCTCATATTCCACGCATTAATAAGAAAACAGCTGGCAGTAAAGCCTTTAGTTACAGGGCCCCTAGCGTATGGAACAGTCTCCCACCACATATTTGGGATTCCGAGTCAATCTCAGGATTCAAATCCAGACTGAAGACCAATTACTTCAGCCTAGCCTACTCACACCTTACATCAAAGCCTGCTGCACCCATGGCTGCTGGTGCTGCTGTACATGCCACTGTGTGCGTCTCTGTGTTGGCCCACCAAGTACAGTATAGACATCTGCTCTGACCAAACTATCCTATTCCCCTTCCCCACATGTCCGGATGGCACCCGGGATGGGCACCATCTGAATTGGATGCTGCATCACTGCCATAGATCCAAGAGGGCCATTGTGGATATAGCTATCGTTTCGGAGGATTGTGCCCGTCTACAGAGATCTGCATGGAGTGCTGACATACAGAAGACATGATGGATGGATTAATACCCTTATTCATTTATTCCTTTTTTTGAATTGTATAATGTTAGCATGCCCAAAGGGGTTGGGCTGCCAGTTGACCTTGGACCCCAAGAGGTTTTTTTTCTCCTTACTGAGGAGTTTTTGGTTCCTCTCCTCCATTGTCTTCTGCTCTTTTCTGTTCTGTATTCACATGCTTGGTCACTTGCTTTGTTAAGCACCTTGGGGCAACCTTGTTGTGAAAGGCACTATATAAAAATAAATTGAATTGAAAATTGCAGTGCTCAAGCGTCATCCCACTAACCTGAACAACCTGGAGTAAATCTGCCAGGAAGAATGGGCCAAAATCTGACCTGAACAGTGTGCAAAGCTGGTACATACTTACCCCAAAAGACTTAAAGCTGTTATTGCTGCAAAAGGTGGCTCTACAAAATATTAAAATGTGGGGATTGAATACTTATGCAAACAGCATATTTCAGTTTATTTTTCTTAAGAATATTTTCTAACATAAAACAATGTCACATTAAAATAATTAATTTTGAGTTTCAGTGCTTTGAAATAAAAATATCACATTGAACAAAATGTTAATGTAGGATTTATGATTCAGTAAAATGAAAGAATTGGCCAAGGGTCTGGATACTTTTGCAAGGCATTGCATTTACATGTACCCAATGTACAACAGTATAAACAGAAGCTATGTTACTGTTTATTGCCACATCCAGTGGAGGATACAGTTTCTGAACTTCACCGTGAACAGGCTACTTCACACAAAGCTTCAGAACAAACGAAAATCTCTCTACCTTCCTTCGGCCTCCTCCCCTCCGGCCAGCACGCGGGGCAGGCTTCTTCTCCGGAGTGAAGTCCTGAGAGAAACAAGGGGGAGGAGAGAGACAGAAGGCTAAGGACACCGATCTCTCATCCCAATAAAGCAAATGAGAAAAACAAGAAAAGTGTTAAAAAGGAGAAGAAATGGTGAATGAATAAGCGTCTGTAGCAGGTCCCGCTGATGCACAAGGTGAGGGTCTATGAGGTACAGAGTTGCTACGTTGTTTCCTTTTTATGCAGGGTAATAACACCCAGCAGTCTGTACCTGACAAATCCTCATGTCGTGCAGGGCCTGAGACAGACGCTCATTCTGAAGACTGATATGAGGATCACTCAGGCAAAACCCATTGCAGGAATGGTCACAAATCCACAGCTTGCATGCAAGAGGGTCCCTACCTGGTCACTGTTCTTCCTGGAGTCGGAGTCAGAGCTGGGGGATGGCTCCGGCTCGGATGGCGACCCGCTCTCCTCCTCCCTTGCTTGCTCCCTCTCGCTGGAAGAGCCGCGCGCTCGCTTGGCAAGGGGGCGCTAACGGGCACAAGCAACAGCTCAGAGAGGTGAGCAACACAGGAGAGGCGAAACAAAACACAGAGGAGGGGGTGAAAACTATCAAGATGTTAACAGTGTTCTTTTCAAGAAGACACGGAAATTGGGTTAATAACCACTGACTGGAAAACTGCTAATACAGTGCTCACCCATAAAAGGGCAACAAAACCAAACCAACTATTGTTAAACCAAATGACAGACAATTAAATAAGACCACAGATGTTACAACTGCACAATGCACTACTATTACCTCCTTTTGAATAATATGCGATTTACAATTATGGTCACCACATAACCACATTGAATCAGTTGAAATGGGAGAGGTTAGACCTATTCCCAGGTTTAAAATAATAAGTATACAAGAACATCCTACAATAAAAAGACTCAGTTCCTTTAGCTTGCTAGTCCTAAACAGAAGACTACAAGAGAAATACCCCAAGTTATCAAAGGCCTTGACAAGGACAACTTAATGGATTTCTCTACTGATATGGCACAGGAGGTCAAAAGTTAAATTAAACTGTGTCAAAAACACTTGACAGAGATCTAGACAGAAACAAGCATTTATCAGGTCAGAGAAACTGGGATATTACCAAACATACTCCTCATTATCATACCATATTAAGAAATATTAAAAGTTAAATTAGTTGAAATTCAGATGAATAGAAATGTAGATAACGCACACAATGCATGTTTTCTGAGCAGTAACCTCTCCACGTAAGGCTTAGAGGGTGAAAGCCAGGAAAACTGCAGTGACAGAAGGTTTCCTATATTTCTGTCCCCAGCAAGTAACTTTGCCCAGAATCAACAGCAAAGTACAAAACAGGGGACAAGAGAAAACTATAAGGAAAATGCATTTAGAACTAAAATAGTCCTTACAAAGGCAGAAGAGTACTGATTCAAAGCTATCAGAACAGTAATATGACAGAGCAGGAGTCTCAATCAGAGCAGACCACCAGACGTTGGAACTGTGTATCAAGGGATGTGGTCACTCACCTTGGCCATGGGGGCCTTCCTCTTCACTCCTCCCGCTGCTGCCTCGCTCCCCGATTCCGACTCCTCGTCACTCGGCGACTCGGCCCGCCTCGGCACATGCACCTCGTCCTCGCCCTCCTCACTTCCTGCTCCGCCGTCGGGGGCTTCTGCCTCGCTGGCGGAGGAGCTGGCCGGCTGGGAGGAACAGAGGATTGAGCAGAGGTGAAAAAGAAAGCAGGGAATGACAGAGGGAAGGAGGACGAAGAGGATAAGGATCCAGGCGGACAGACGCGAGTGCCCCTGTTGACAGTTATTAATGGACAGAGCCCGCTCTCAGAGGCTGCTTTCTGACAGAGAGCCCACGACATGACCATCCGGGAACCAGGAGTACGGAGGACACTCTGCGACTCACTGCAGGGGTGCTGTAGGAGGCATGCGGGTTGTTCTGGATCTCCCACAATCCCTCATTGAAACCCTTCCTCTTGTTGGGCTTGCCGTAGCGTTCCCGATACTTCTCATAGGGGAACAGGTCCTTGGGGCCCAAGAACGCACTGAAAAGAAGGAATAGGGGGAAAAAGAGAGAGAAGGGGTTAGAGAGAGAAGCACATGACAACTTCTTCAAACCAGTGGCAGTGTGGAAGTCTTGAGTGCACCGCAGAATCAAGAGATAGGTTTAAAAGGGGCAGATCAGGAGCTTTGTGTAACACTTTTCAAAATGTATCCAAATATTTAAACACTTCCTATGAATAAGCTTAATGAGCTACCTAAATCATGTTGTTGATGCTGACATCCTGGCTTCTTTCAAGAAATGACAGGATGATTCCCGGGATCAACCAGCTGCTAGCTAATGAGTTGCCTAACCGGGCAGAATGGCTCCTCTTGCTCACAGCTGCTCTCGGAAACAAGCTCTCATTTCACCTCCACATTCTACTCAAGTATTTATTAAAACTATAGTGTATGTCGCAATGAAAGAGAAATTACTTCTTAAAATCACTGCCAGTTTTGCAAAACCGTATCACAAAGTGCCGCACAAGGCTTGATGCTACTACAGGTCACCCTGCCTGCAAGGCACCTGCTCACCATCCGCGGTTCAGTCAACTCACGTCTCGTGGGTCCCGAAGAAAAAGATGGGGTATTTGTTAGGCGGCGGCTTCACTGCTCCCTCTGCCACATCCTCAATCTGAGAGAGAGTGGAGGAAAGAGATCAAAAGTTAAATACAGACAACCTTGAGTAGGAACAAGCTGTCCACACACCGTGGTCCCTGCCCTGCTGATCTACCCCGACTCCCACCCTGACAGCCGATCTGGAGCGATCTCTCCTGCCCCCTCTGTGCACTGCTGCAGATCTGAAGGGTCGCCTGCACCCAGCAGGGCCTCCTCCGACAGGGTGCTGCCTCGACTCAGAACACTTGCAGACAAGCAGGTGACAGCGCACAGGCTCACAGAAACGCCACCGAGGACCGAGGCAGGACACTGCAGATCAGTGCACACCCCGGGGAGCGTCTCTGAAATACCTACTGAAGGTGAACGCCACGCTCGGCGCCTACACACTCGCTGCTGAGGGGCGAGAGGCGGCGGCAGGTTCGTGTCGCGGCTGGGCAGCCCCTGGCGCCAGGAGTCCAGCAGCTCTAGCGCGCAGAGCGGACTCCCCGAGCGAGGCAGGCTCGGTACCGGCCCGGCTGCTCTGGGTGCAAGAGGCTGCGAATATGCGGACAGCACCTGCGCGCCCCCGCCAGCGCCACTCTAACTCTCGGCGAGGTGGCAGCAGGGAGAGGCTCCCCGAACTGGGTGTCGGACCGCCTGGCAGGTTACAGCGGGTAAAAGCCGGGATGGGGCAGGCAGCCAGCCCTGCCGTCTCTCCCCGAAACTTTCCGGAGAGTGCTGTATGCACCCCCGCGAGAGCACCCCTGTCCCTGCTCCTCCCCGGCCGTGCGAAGGGACACGGGCTCACGGCGGACACCTGCGCCCCCCGCTGCAGCAGCCCGGTTCTCTGCCCCCGACAGTCCCTCGGCCCCCGGACCCTACCGCCCCCCTGCTGGCCCGGCGGCGCCCTCTCACCCTGGCCGGCCAGTGCGGGTATCCCTTCATCTTGGCGAACACCAAGTCCCCCGCCTGGAAGTTGTGCGGCATCTTTCCCTCGTCTTCGGTGTTTTTCCTTTCGGTATTTGTTTTCGGACGCTCAGAGAACCTACAGACGGCGGCTGCTGGGAGGCAAGAAGCAGCTTCCGGCGATGCTACGGCTTACATGTCGGAAATCCCGCCCCTGCCTTCTTACGGGATTGGCCCCGCTGGACGCTGTTCAATGCGACCCGCCAATCGGATTGTGTGGTGTGGAAAGTTCACAGTGATGCCGCCTAATGGCTTCAGCGTTTCTGAGAATCTCCCCTGAAAATAACATCATAATAATAAGCGATACAACAAATGTTAGATGGGACCGCTTTTATTACAGATAGAAAAACTGTGGTGTCAACTCGGGAACACAGTGGTACATTGCTGCACAGACCACTGTTACCTTGGAGGAGATTGATCAATTACAGACAAGTGCTATTTTGAGATACATTAGTATTGCCGAGAGCAGCGTTGTAATGGAGTACAGTCATGTAGCAGAGATCAGTGTTACTATGGAGTACAGTAATATAGCACAAACCAATGTTATACTGGACTACAAGAATACTGTAGTACATTACTGTATCACCCTCATCGAAGACCACTGAATGCCATTACCAGCTGCTGAGATTTTCTTCACAGGAATAAAAAAAGAGTGCTTTTTTAGTTTTACTTTTTTTTCACTGAACTCTTTTGTCATTTCCTGCAGATGAATTGTTATTCTATGGATATATCTTACTTATCATTGAGTGATTCTTCTGTCTTAGGAAGCATTCATTTAATATCTGGGCATTTGTTACTTCTTTTACGCAAAACAACCGTTCAGATGATAAGAGGTTGAATATTTGAGAGTAGGATTAAAAGTTATTTGAGAATCTGAAGCTAATGTAGTATTGATGTCAGAAATGCAATAAGAAATGAGACTGTAAAGGCTTGTGGGTTCAGTGGTGTATTTCTCTATATTCACCCACAGCTGAAGTGCAGCACCATGTGGGGAGTCATGAGCCAGCAGCCCCTCACAGCATCAATCAAACATCAACAGCTTCACCAACTGAAAGATATTAGAGAAGCCAGATTCCTCAGATCCAGGGTGGAATTTATCCAGGGCCCTAGGGCTAGCATCCCAACCCTTACAGTCTTAGAGTCTTTTAATGATCAGGCAGACAAGGCATCAATCTGAACATCTCATCCAAAGAACGGCATTATCTTTCACAGTGTCACAAGTCACTGTACTGGGACATTGGTTTGGTACTCTAAACCAGAGGGAGAGGCGCCACCTACTGGTCCAAAAGACCAATTACAACTGAATTCTGTTTTTCTTAGTACCTTCCCACCCCTATACTGACCAGGGTTAGTCTATCGGTACCCATGATTTTTTATTATAGAGCAAAGGGATTAAATTGTGTTCATTCGCTCGCCCTCCAGTTGCAATGACACCGCCACAAAGATCGAGGGCGCTGTGCCTAACTTCTTCACCTGCTTCCGGAATCTCGACCCTTCTCTTCACTGTGGCGTGTGATGTCACACCGGGCGCACTTCCTGTGGCTGTAATTGGATGTAAACATTGCAGGATTTACTGTACCTTTTCTCCAGTGTGCGCCGGCAAACATGAAGAAGTTTTTTGAGGATATCAAGAAGGACATCAAGTTCAAGTCGGCTGGTCCCGGGCAGAAGCTGACGGACGAAAGGTTAACGCCCATCGCAAATGCGGCACGGAAACAGGCTGTGGGCGGGCAGGGTGAGAGGGCTTGGGCGCTGAGTGTGGCCCGCAGCCCCGGCAGAGTTCACAGCTCGGCTAGGAGTGGTATACTGACCGAGTCCCGTTCAGCCCAGGCCTCAACCCTCTCACCCCGCTGTGGCTCTGCGGAGGCCGTGCAGAATGAAATAGACTTGATTGTATTTCTGTTTCCTTGTAACACTGTAAAGGTTGTACTTGAAGAATTAATACAGATGACTAAAATGGCTTCGTGCACATTTAAAGTTATTTACAGATGCGGAATGAAGTTCTTAAGAGAAGATGACGGATGCGCAGTCTTAGCCGTGTTGTGTGAGCAGAAATAGAGCTGTGTGCGGTAATAGGTCAGTCACTGTACCCAGTGACCCACAGGGCGGCTTACAGAGTGAAGCAGCAGTCGTCAAAATGTTGACGATATCGTACAGAGGCAGCACACCGCGCGTAGAGCGTGTTAGTACCCGGGTAGAGCGATGTGAGTTCTCAGTATCCCTGTGCCCCTCTCCCCGCAGCCAAAAGAGCCCCCCAGTGAAGACCAGCACCCCCTGCAAGCCGCGACAGATTCCCACGGAAGGAGCGCAGAAGGCGGCGGCCGCGGCGCTGGCCAGGGTGGAGCAGGAGCACCGCCCCCGACCTCTGACCTCGCAGGACGCTATCCGCTCCCAGGGTGAGTGCAGGCTCACCCTGCTGCCCCCAGCACTATCTGTACTGACACCCTGCTGCCCCCGGCACACTGTGTCCTGTCACCCTGCTTCCCCCGGCACACTGTGTCCTGTCGCCCTGCTGCCGGGGCACACTGTTCTGGAAACATAGATTGTTAAAAAAAGAACAAGAGTGGCACAACTCTTCTAATCATCGCTCTCCCCTCTTTTGGTCAGTGAAGAAAGAGCTTTTGGCAGAAGCAGCAGCTACAGCAGCAGTTGGGAAACCAGCAGAAAGCAGCGAGGTAACGACTGACTAACAACCCGACACAGCAGCTCAGGGCTCTTGCTGTGGGGGAGTGGAAGCCTATGGGGCTTGAGGGAAGGGACAGACATTTAAAGTTAATTATGTTGTTTCTGTTTCTGAGCTTGAGGATATGTTGTTTTGGGATTTTAATCAGAAGAATAAGCTCTCTGGGTCAAAAACATATCTCTCTTGCCTCCTCTGCCCAGTCCTCCAAGGTGCCAGTTAAGGAGGCAACCTGTTTCTCGGTGTCTGGAGTGTATTTCACCTGCCCTCTAACCGGAGCCACCTTAACAAAAAGCGAGAGGGAAGCGCACATCAAAGAAGCTATACTGATGGTATGCCACCTTCCCATGCTGCTAATGCAATGACAGCCTGTCACAATGATACACACCCAACAACTAAGTGATACAATAAACACAAAATAATTATTTTTCTCGTTGCACCTCTCCTCTTGTCTCTCAGTGGTTTGCAGAGGACCCCCTGGAGGCCTCCGTCATGATGATCCACACGTTCAACAAGGACAGGGAGAGACTGAAGGCCGGGATCGACATCATCAGCAAGTGAGAGGGGGCGTGGCTGTAGTGGGCAGAACTCTGGGCTTCAGGTCCGAGGACTGCGGGTTCATACCCCAAGTGGGAGAACTGCTGTTGTGCCAGTAAGCAAGGCACTTACCTCAGATTGGTCCAGTAAACGCCCTGTACGAGAGAGTCTCCAGGTTGTCAATGTCAATTTCTACTCAGCCAACTTAGTTGCCAAAATAAAGGATCAAAACACACCTGAGGTGAGAGGAAGGCTGTATATGAGCAAGAGGTTGAAGGAGGCAGAGAAGGGGGGCATGGGAAAGCGCAAGAAAGGACTTTCTAGCAAGAACTGAGAGGAAGGCCTGGGAAGCACTGTACCTGTTGCTCCAGTTTTAACCAGGTCTCTCCTGTTCAGATACATTGACAACATCTGTAACAACCCCTCAGAGGAGAAATACCGCAAGATCAAACTGCAGAATAAGGTCTTCCAGGTGAGGTGGCAATCTGGGGTTCAGGGGTCTCCTGTCTCACATACGTCTTATCTGAGCTAATCGGTCCCCATCTCTTTTCCCCTCACTCTCTCCAGGAGAAGGTGAAGTGTATCGAGGGGTCCCGGGAGTTTCTCCAGGCTGTGGGGTTCAAGAGCCAGGTTTTGGCAGTCGATGGGCAAGGTGACCTGCGTGAGAGGAGTGGGGCTGAGTGCCTGTGCCGGCGTGCGGCGATGTACTCATCTCTTTCCCCTCCTCTGTCAGATAGCAGCGAGGAGTTCCTGGTGCTGCCAGAGGAGGCGCTTGCCCAGCTGGAGGAGCTGAGAGCAAGCCGGGCACGGCTGCAGGCGGGGGAACCAGTCAGAGCAAAGCTCGACCGCCAGCTCCAGGTCTACCGGCCCTCCCCCCATGCCACACGCTTCGAACTGCCCCCCGACTTCTACAACCTCACCGCGGAGGAGCTGAAGAGGGAACAGCAGCTCAGGTACATGGAGGGGGCGAGTAAACCCGCTCAGTCTGTCAGGAGAGGCACCGTCTCTCAGTGCAGCCATCTCTACCACTGTGTGCTGTGATGGCGCATCTATCCACCAGGAGCGAGACGGTGGAGAGGAACGCTCAGCTGCGCACCAAGGTGATGAGGGAGCGGGACGAGCAGCGTGAAAGGAAGAAGTATAACTATGCCCTGTTGAGAGTCAGGCTACCCGACGGTAACCTGCTGCAAGGTGGGGCTTCTATCACTGTCTTATTGGACATGTTGCCCGTCATGTTTTTAACCCAGTAATACTAACTTTATTATTAACAAGTGCAGCCTTATAAGGAGTAGATTCTGCATCTGTACTTGACATTTTTTTTACCTCGGAGCTTGGTTAAAATTGGTAAGTCCTGCTATGGAGGTGTATGCTAGTCACATTCGCACAGGTGAAGCAACTCCCACCAGAAGTCATTCTTGTATTCTTATCAGTCTCAAGTTACTTGTGACATCCAATTAAATTCATTTTTCACAACAAGGTTGTCCCAAGGCGCTTTAAAATGCAAGTAACCATACACTTTGTGAATACAGAACAGAAGACCAGAAGACAACGGAACATTGTGGACATTAGCCATGTTCATTAAGTGCTGTTAACGTGTTGCGTCCCACAGGCACATTCTATGCACGGGACAAGGTGCCAGCACTGTACGAGTTTGTGCGAGGGGCGCTGGTCAATGACTGGCAGCCCTTTGAGCTGATTGCCCCAGGGGGGCAGAAACTGAAGGAAGAGGAGCTTGCCTTGAATGAGTGCAATCTGGTGAGACATTACACCTGCCCTTGCCCATACCGTCATTCCAATCTAGCACAATCCATCACGACAGGACAGCAAGTCCTCTAAAACACAACCTATGATGCACTCAGTTCTGTTTCCTCTGATCTCTCTGTAGTTTAGTGTTCAGTTAAAGTGCCCACACCTAGACGGTCTCTAAGTGTTATTTTCCCTTTTTTCCCTTATCTGCATATCCAATCTGTTGCTTATGCTTCCCATCTCTCATCCATCTTTTTCTTTCCACTGCTCTCTCTAGGCTCCAGCTGCACTGCTGACTTTCTCCTGGGATGCTGCTGTCCTGGCTGATATCCAGGCATCTGGCACACAGACTCACAGCATCCTGAAGCCAGAGCTGTTGGAAAACATCAAGACCCTCACTTGAGCTGGTTCTGCACTGCTACCTTCTCCCTCCTCCCTCCATCTTCTCTCTCTCTCTTCCCAGCCCTTCTCCACCCTCGCCATCTTCCTGCCGTTACCTGCCGTCCCCAGTCCTGCCCCTGCTCTCCCAGTTAAAGGCTGCAGAGTCTCACCAGACAATAAACGGGAAGGGTCAAGGAAAAAGAGCAAAAATACAAGTGTTTGTTTCCGAACAGCGTCTTGAATGTTACACATACTGGATGCCAGCGATGGTTTTGAAGACACTAATTGTATGGAGGACCTCTCCCATGCCTGTGGAGGGTTGATACTCCTGTGAGAGACTAATTCCACTTCACCAGGACTGGAAGACAATGACTGACCCAGCCCAGAGACCCCTTGTGCTGGAGAGCCACCGTCCACCAGGGAGGAAGAGTCCACCTGAAATCAAGTTTCTTTCACTCCCAGCCACTTCAGGTTGGGTACCAGTTTGAGGCGGGAGAAACCGATGGTAAATACTTTACAAGACTCTTGTTCGCATCTCAGCTAAGAATAAGTCTTAACTCAAACTATAAATCTGTGTTTTAAGGATGTACAGTAGAACTTGTTGGAATGTGGCTCTCCAGAAACTGGTCTGCAGTCACAAGTTAGTCTCTTTAAAAATAAGTATTGCAGAGTATTTAGAGAATGAGAAAGATACAGTTGAAGGTATATTTCTGTATTTGACATTTTTGTTCTGTTTTGTGCAGAGCTTGGCTATGCTGTATTCTTGTGCAACACTGACAGCCCCACTGCTGCTCCTTAGACAAGAGTTTTTCAGATTTGCACTGGGATGGGAAGGTGTTTTTGATAAAGATCAGTAGACCCTTCTAGTAAAATTGGTTTATGCACTTAATTTTTCTAAGGATGCCTCCCAGACTGGGGCTGCACAGCTCTACACGCAGGGAACAGTGGAGACCCACTTGGCTTTACTGCTCCAGGTAGCTGCTGTCAGTGTGGGTGTGCTCGGTCGTGCTGTAAGGCACGGGAGGCCTCTGTTTGAACAGTCCCGGAACAGTGCTCTCGGGAGTGAAAAATAAGTAGGCAGTCTAGAAAGTGGAAAGCATAGATCTTATGACATTAGGAGCATTATAAACTTCATATGGACCAAGATAAGAGTTTAAGACATGAAAGTGTTGATTTTCTAAAACCAGATACCAGATGGAGAGACTTATTTCTTCTTCTAGATGCCCACTGAGGTGTAGCAGCTCCTCAGGCTGTTTTCCATTATTCTCCTTCTGAAACACTACTTGGCACTCTGCTTATCAAATGCACCCCAACACCAATGCTCCTTACCTGTTGAGAGCAGTCAGTGTCCCAAGAAGAGCAGACTGCCAAGGACAGGAGACTGTAACCAGACTGATTTACTGTGCTAAGTGTAGTAGCCTATGCCGTAACAAAACTGAAGTGTCTTTTGAGTTCAGACTTTCCTTCTAAATAGCATTTCCCAACCCCTCTATTACTGTGATGAAACCTTCATTTGACAACTTCAAACGAGAAGATTTTATAAATGTAGCAGGAATTTTCATAGCTCTCAGACAGAGGAACATTTACTTCCTTCAAAAGTCCAGGGCTTTTTTTAGCCCAACATCAGACAACTTGAGCCTGGTGCTTGAATGTGTTGCTGAATCAGTAAAAAGAACTGCAAGAACAATATCTTTAATAACCAGAGAATAGAACATGTACTACACTGCCATTTCATAATGCATAGCCCATTTCTTCTGTTCTAATTATTGATGTTGTTTAGTAATTGTAATTGTTCACTCTGAGAACGGCTGTACTCAGTTGTACTGTACACAGATAAACAATTTTATATCACTGAAAAGTCACAATACCAGATTTACACAAATATTCTTCTACACTTTTAAAACCCCATCATGTCTCAAAGTGATCTGTTTTTTACAAGTGGAAGGTGTGGTGCAGCTCTGCCGGTTCTCAGCCATGATTCTCCTAGCGACAAGTTCAGACATCGCAACTGCCCTGTCCAGAGCTGGACTGTAAACCACATCCAGAATCTCACCAGGAGAGAACTGTGCGCTTCAAACGCCAAACTTGGATGAAAAGACACCAGAGGGCTAAAAACATGGATTCACAAAGTTTTTGTATTTTTAAGGTTTAGATAAAACAGTTTTAATATAAAATTTTGTTAGAAGGTAAACAACCAAATCACCTCATTTTTGCACTCTCGAGTTTGAAGACATTTCAGGAATTGAGCAGAGCTATAGTCAGTCCTGAGTGCAGGCAGGAGCAGCCTTCCTCCTCTCACACAGCGAGACGCCAGCTCTCCAGGCTCACAGACAGCCTGCACCGAATCGCCTCTCAATGCTTCTGCTGGCCGGCTCCCCAGCATCAAGCCAGTTTTCACCCTGGCTGAACTTAACACTGAACCAAAAACTGCTTAATCATTTTTTACTTTGTTTTCAGGAAATAATACAGCTGAAGAAGGTAGCTACTAAACTTCACAAATCTGAGATTTAAAAAGTACAAATGAGGCCAATTGGTACAGCTCCAAAAAAGAGTTCATACATAGAAATCCAGAGAAGAGGGTAACCCTGCACTAGATACTACTGTTGCAAACGTTTATAGTTCCATAGGCTGGATAAAGTTAACACCTTTAAACACCTTTTTGGGGGGTTAAAGGGATTATTAGGCATGTTTTCCTAATTGTGCAGGTTGCTTATTAAAGGAGAGATGTAAACATTTTAAATAACAGATTAATTAGATGTAAAACAGCTTTGTCTCAGTATACTATGTAAAGCTCGGCACGTGTCTGGCTAGAAACTTTTAAGTCCTTTTGCATTTTCTGAGCATCTTAAGTAATAAAGTGTGCAAATATCATTCCTGGTGTCTGCTCTTAAACCTCTGGAACTGATCCGTATTCAAAATGGGCAGCCTAGAGATTTCCACTAATTCTTAGTATCACTATAATCCAGCCCACACTGTATAGATAACTGTGTTGTTCACGTTTATGGTTCAGGATTTTGAGTACAAGCCCCCTCAATAATACCACTAGAGACCGATCGCTTCCAGTCCACTGCACTGCAGTACTGTGTTACACCCAGTTACTTCATTCCACTGCTGGTGAGCAGGAAATATCTAGCTGTGGCAGCGCAGCCATATCTCAGCACAGCAGGAGTGTGAAGCCAATAGGTTTTGTTTTGTGTCCAGCAGTCTTATTTTAAACCATGACAACTTTTTAATAGGATCCAGATAGAGGCTTTTGTTGCCATCCCCCGTCTCTGTGTGAGAAAGTGCTTTAGTCAGCTCCTTAATTACACAACTACCAGCAAAACCAGCTTAATGCACACTGTTTTGTAATAGTCAAACTATAACAAACAAGAGAGGTGTTCCATTTTCCTAGCCTCCTACAAACCTTAGGAGTACAGTTCTTCACCCTGACCTAAATCAAAATCAAAAACCACCCTTTCACAAACTGCAGAATCATGAATTACTGTCTGCAAACAGCATGGGCTGGTGTTTGTTTTTAAATAATGCTTTATTAAAGACTTTATCTACACTTGGAAATTGCCCAATCAACTGGGACCTCTGGTCAGGAGATTAAAAAAATATATTTTTCCTGTTCAACTTCAAACATTAATAAAATCTAGGGGAAAAACAATTTTCACTGATGCCCCTTCTTCACTTAGCAGCCTGAAAAACAAATCAGTCTCTGGAGTAAGGGGACATCCTGCGTTGTGAATGAAGAGGCAGAAGGAGGGGTGGGACTGTAACTACAGGACCAGGGAGACAAGGTGTATGAAAGTGCGATACATTTCATTTCTTAGTTATTTTTTAATAAAGAAAACCAGTTCAAGTATTCTTGGGAAACAAATAGAACACATATATGTGAACATTGACGAAGACATTAAAAGAATCAATAAAAAAAGCCAACAATGTACTACACCAGTGATCATGGTGGAGTGTCAGCTTAGCAGTGACCTCCCCTGACAGAAGGTAGGTCAGGCACTGGAGGGGGTAGCAGCAGCTGCAGGGAGGTCAGAGGTCGTGACCTCCATGTGTTCCGTACTCTCCTGCTGAGCACCATCTCCTACTGAACCTGCAGGAGGTGACAAGGGCAGTTACCTTCCCGAAAAATCCTACCAGACCCCCCCAGACAGGTTCTTCTGTGTCTCAGCAGAATATTGATCATTCTCATATTAAAAAAATTTAAGGCAGTTCATTTGGACTAAGTACTGATAAGGGGTTGAATACTACAACTGGGGTGATGTGATCAATCATGTAATCCCAACTGGGGAGATGGAGTACCAGAGAGAACTGTACCAGGACCACTGCTCTTCCTAACTGATATCAGTGATTTACATTCTAGTACAGTTAAGAAACTAGTCAAGTTTGCAGATCATGCCAAAGAAAAGTCAGCAAAAATAGAAGCTGTAAAAAATTCAAAAAGACTTAGAATTCAAGACTGGGCAAACACCTGGCAGCTGTTTGATTTAGGCAAATACAGAATTTAATACAGGCAGCAAAATCTGTAAACACAAAATTATAAACACTGAGCCTGAATAGGCTGTTTTTCAAAAAGACCTAGATGCAGATTTATGTGAAGTAGGAAAATTGGTTTAAATAATTGACATGCTAGAAGAACTGAAGCTTTTTAGTTGTAAAAAGACGACTATGAGGGGGGATCTGATTCAAGTATTCAGAATCCTTCAAGGTATATTGCATGCAAAGTCAATCCAGTAGCCTTCTTGCGTTTTAAAAGTGAAACGCAAACCAGGTCACAGGTGAAAAACAGAGGGAACCATTTAAAACAGAACAGGAGCCACTTTGTTGTTACCCAAAGGGTTGTGAATGAGGAACAGGCTAACCTTAACACGATCAAGGAGCTATCCTGGCTCTTTTTAATAAAAACAGCTGGAAGAGATTGGCAGATCAATTGCTACTATATTAACTACAAAATGGAATAGACGGGACCTCATCACACTTGTAAATATTGCTATGTTTTCATTATTAAATTAACGCTGTAGATTAAATCATTTTAAAAAGTTCAAACTTCATCTGTACACGACTGATTCAACGAATGGGTTCATTTTTGACATCTCGCCTGGTAGGAGAAGGAAGTGCGCGAGTGCTCTGCCCAGCGCGCTGTGATCGATCACCCCTGCGCACCTGTGTGAGCCTCCACGATAACACAGTCCGCATCATCCTCGTCTTCCTCCGTGTCGGCCTGGAACCCATCCGTCTCCATCGCCTCTCCCTGAGGGAGAAGCAGGTGATCATGCAGGCTAGACCTTACTGAAACTGGCTTCAAGAGTGCAGACTAAACATCTGAACAGCAGCTACTCAGCACAACAAGATCAGCAGTATGTGGTGTGCATCTTGCAAGCTGTATAGTTTATAAATACTACAAAGAACTATAAAACTATATAGCCTATATATATTTACACACTATACATTACAAAGCCCAACAAGGAGGTTATTAGGAGTAAGTTATTAACTCCAGGCACTGCAGTAGGGGCCTGGATCAACAATGTCAAGACTACGAGACCCACCTGCTCTGCGTCTCCACACCTCTTCATGAACCTGGTGATGGACATGCTGCCGGCACTTTTCCGCTTGGCGGAGGAGGACATGAGCGGGGGTGCAGTGGACACTGGGGTCGGGGGGGAGACGCTGGAATTGCTGGGGGTCCCATTGCTCTCCTCTCGGGCACTGTGTGGCCCCTGGGTGAGGTAGCTCCACTGACAGGGCACTGGCAGGCCCTCCTGACCGAAGCGCTGTAGCACTTCCTGATGGACGTACCAGCAGCAGCGGCGCCAGGCCGGTCGCTTCTCATACACTGCATTCTCTGAAATAATCCGCTTCAGACGGTACCTGGGGAGGAGAAGCGAGCTGAGCCAGGCAGAGAGCAGGAACGATAAAAAAACTCCCCATGGGTAGGGTGTCTACCTGGTGGGCACGCTGCCATCATCGCCCGGCTCCGGACTGGTGGGCTGCGGCGGGGGTCTGCGCCGGCAGCACTCCTGAAACTCCATGATGATGACTTTACTGCCGTGCGTGTTCCCGTGCAGCAGGGGCAGGAGCTGGGAGAGGACTGGAAAGAGGGAGAGGGCAGCGGTCAGCAGGGAGCAGGGCGAGGGCACTCGGACTTATGTCTGCAACGCTGCACCAGAAGGCGCTCACTCTGCTCGTCCCGCCGCTCCCGAGCGCTGCTCTCGGGGCTGCCTGCCTCGTCGCCAGGCGGCACGTCCAGCAGGCAAACGGCGTGCAGTCGCAGCATCCTGTTCTCCGGCCTGTCGGGCTCCCCCTGCGCCTCCCACACGCACCCCAGCACCACCGGCTCCAGCACGTGGAATTTCTTCCCCTTAGACATGAGCTCATCCCACTCCCGGGCCTTCAGCCGCTGCCGCACCTTCTGGTTCTCCGGATCCGCTCGCTCCTGGAGGACGGAAGTCATTAAAGAGCAGCGGACATGAGGAAGGGAGAGTGGAGAATAAGAGGCAGAGGGGATAAGGAAAAACCAACAGCCCTCAGATCTGGGCTTAACTATCTGGGCTGAGTGGCACCAGTTCAGTCTGCAGAATACTGGAATGAGCTGCCCGTACCTCCTCCTCAGATGCTCCCTCCCCCTCGGACAGGTAACCATGGGGGACGAAGAATCCATCGTCATCGTCGTCTTCGTCACCACCCTCCTCTTCCTCATCCTGCCAGAACAACAAACCATGAGTTTCACTCATCAGAGTCCCCGGACAAGTGCTGTGCTGGTCAGCATCCCCGTGACCCATTCATTAGGATAAGAGATTTACAAAGGTAATGGCTATAAAGGGGAACTCCAGTGCCTGTTTCTCAGACCACTTATTAAATTGCGTTAACAATCAATTCATTGATGGGGTAGAAAAAGTAACATATTTCAAATTAAGCACAATATCGTGAACTTTGTGAAAGTACTGTAAGACACCATGTTGTCGCAACCCCTGGTCTTGCATTATCATGAATTGCTATGTGATGCTGCCCCTCCTGCTCACTACTGAATAAGTACAGGTTGTGCAGCAGAGGAAGTTTTGTCTGGTTCTGAATCACAGAATATGGCACTGCGGACACCTGGAAATCTAGTTTATTTTGTGATGTAAATTGGAGGTTTTACTGTGCACATTTTACATTTATTGTGGTTTGAAATACAATGCCTCAATGCCAATTTTTTCTATCCCCAAAATATAAAAACAGCATTACAGTTTTCCTTCAAAGAAAATAGGAATAGGGGTTCATCAATAGGGGTTGAGATTGTGGAGTACAGGATAAAAGAACTAAATAAATGCACCACAGTAACAGAGCACCCCTGGCTGACAGCTGTACAGACTGCAGGCCAACAGCCAGGGGGTGCTGGAAGCATCCAGGGATGCCATTTTGCAGGTAATATTTTGAGCATAAAGAAAAGCAGTTAAACACTCTAGCCCCTCCCGATACTGACCCCCTCACTGTGGGACAGACTCTCGCCTGGCTCCTCCTCCTCCCACTCCTCATCACTGTCTACATCGTAGTCCAACAGCTCCTGGAGACCAAGACACAGAGGAAAACACCAGATTAAAATACATCACCGAAGTCATGACCACCTGAACCAGAGCTGTGGAACAAGAAGCACCAGAAGAAATATTTCTAACAGACATGCCAGGAGGCCACCAGTCCTGCAAGGCACTCCTCACCAGTCATGTGTTACACAGTCACTGGATCCTGCAGGGCTCTAGAAACTGAGGTCAAAGCTCTGAACACACTCACCAGCACTGCTGCTGGACCAAAGACAGGAGCTCATAAAACTGCAGAGAGCAACACTTTCTTATGCAATAAGGAAAACCAACACCATGCTGACAGGAAATTGTACAAGAAAGCTCTAGACCTGATCCGGTAAAAACACCAATTATGACTAACAAGCTCCTGTCACACTATTTGATATTTTAGTTATATTTCACTACATTACAATCTTTTTACAAGCCATTAAACAATATTAAACAAACATGGACTCCCAGAGTTTGTTTAAATAGAAGCCCATATACCCAACACTTTTACCATCAATGCAAATGCCTAAATATACACTTACTGTAAGAAGCAGCTTTTTTTAGTACACTCGTACCTCTTTTTACAAACGAACTTATGATATGATTCTACAAAGCACGTGAAATGTTACCCACGTTTGGAATAAATTCCGAAAAATACGAAGAAACAATACAAAGCAAATTTGTGGTTTAGACTGTCACGGACCCTAAAGGTGTGAGGAAAGAAAATTCAAGTGTGTGTGTGATTACACAAAAACAAATGAAGTGGTTACTGTATAGTAAAGTACTTTGGTAGGATTAATTATTTCTAACTATGTAAGCAGTGTTTTTTCAATAGTAAAATAAAACAAAAATATAAATGTTATTACATTTTCTTTTCTCATCTTTGTCAAATTTTCACAATACAAAAGGGTTTTACGTTTGTAAAAAGGGGTATAGGTGCAGAGATGCCCCTTCTTAACCTGGAGTTACCTGACAACTTAACAACACAGCTTACAGTCACGATCTGACCCATTCAACACTTCAAAAATTAAACATTTCCGCCCTTTCACAAAAACTGAAAGTTGGCCCAGAATGCAGTATCACATGTGAAAGAACTTCTCCAACACATCATGCGCATCAGAACCTCTTACCCTGGTGTCAAAGCCTGGCAGATTCTGAGGTACGACGTTCATCCTTTCCTGCCCAGGTGTTTTCCTACATGATGAGCTCTGCAGTGAGACGATCTGCTCGGCACACCCGCACCAAAGACCAGTACACCTGCACCACGTACCCACAATGCGTCAAGAGCTCCTTACAACCCCACACAGGCACTGCGACCTGAATGCACCCCAGTTCTCATTCCCTTCGGTTTACAAGAATCACAAAAATGACTGAGAGAGAATCTTCATCGCCGTTATAAACCACCACGCAAGGAAACAGATCAGACTCCCAGTACACTGCAGTCTGGTCCTCTCCCAGTTTCCCCAGCAGCAGCTCTGAGGAATTCACCTGGAGCAGTCTGCGATGTGGAGGGACTCTAACCCATTTCAGCACCACACAACACGAAGAATGGAATTGCCCGGCGGTGGCGAGGGCTGCCTGACCTTGTCCTGCTGCAGGGGGCAGCGAGGGGAAATAAGCCGGCTCCTCTTGCTCCAGGTGCCCCAGTATGCCGGCCGGTAGTTCTCGTGGAACTGCAGCAGCTTCATGCGGCTCCACTGCCGCCGGTCGGGCACGCCGTCCGGCTTGGGAACCTCCACCACCAGCACACAGCTGGCGCCGGGAAAGCAAACGGCACTGGTCAGTCCCTCCCCTGGCATTCACACGAGCGCAGGCCTCAGTCTCGATCTGCTTCAGCCCCACGTTCAACCCCACCCCGCCTGCCCCTCCCTCTCCCACCTGTTCACATCCTCTGTGGGCCTGGGCCAGGTCGGGCCACTCCTGCGGTGCTTGCAGCTCAGCCAGTGTCTCCGGCAATCCAGACTGTGGTCCGGCTCAGCCAGGTACCGGTCCAGCTGCTCCAGAGCCTCCTCTTCACACTGAACCCGACTCAGTGGCGCCAGAACCATGTTCTCCTTGATCTCAAAGGGCGCAAACTTCCCACAAGCAGCAGCCAGAGTCTAGGGGAGAGGGACAGGACGGGCAGATCAGAGGCCTGAGCAGCTGCAGGGCTCTTGCATAGGAGGTGTAATGAACTGGAAAAGCAAACAGCTAATATTTTCACCTCCAAGCTATGGAAGTGCTTTATGAAACAGTGTAAAGATGAGCTACCTATGTGAAAAGCACCTTTCAGTACTCCAGCTTTTGCCATTTTTTATTACCCAAACTGAACAATGTCTTCAGATGCAGGTCCTGACAGGTGCTTTATGAATAAAAGCAATCATCTGCACTCCTACCTTTGGCACCTGCAGGGTCTTGGGTTTCTGTAGGAACCGGGTGATCTCCGCTTTCTCTGCTTTGATCCGCTGAAAAGGGGGGGGAGAACAAAATGACTGCTTGGCCAAAGCAGTTGACTGGGGGGGACCAGCACCCCACCAATGAGGATAGGGGTAAATGAGCCCCTGCTCTCCCTGTGGGCCAGACAACAGCCAAACATGCAGCAAGATATAGGGAGAAACGTGCATGACGAGCGGGGGAGTGAAATAACACTCACATCCTTCTCTTCTTTCAACCGTTTCTCCTCCTCTTTTTTCCTTTTCTCTTCCAGTTTGGCTCTTGAAAAAAAAAAAAAGCCAGAAGAAGGTTAAGAGGCTCCCCGGCCCTGAGCAGACGACGGTACCGTCTTGGCATTCGGCGCCGAGACGGTTTGCCGAGCCGGACCGGGGCCGAGAGACACTCACTCCAGCTTCACCTTCCGCTGCTCCTCCTTCGCCCGCAGCTTCTCCGCCTTCTCCTTCTCTTCCTTCTCCTTCTTCTCCCGCTTGTCCCGCTCCTTCTCCTCCCTGCGCCTGCGCGCCTCCTCCTTGGCCCGCTCCCGCGCGGCCCGGGCCTCGCTGCGCTGCTGCTCCCTCTCGGCACGCTGCTCCTCGCGCTGGCGCCGCCGCTGCTCCTGCTCCTCGCCCTGCGGAGAGGCAGGCCGTCAGGGGGCAGGCCGTGCCAGGCAAGCGCACTGCTCCGGGGGCACCGACCTTTCAGCCCCGAGCTCACTCGTACTGGACCAATTCAAGTTGAAACATTAGTTTATGAGAAACGGTGCCCTTTCCCAATTCCCCTGTGTTCCTTCACCCCCAGAATGTCCCCGCTGGAAGGGAACCCCGAAGTGTGAAACGCGTCTGGACCCAGTGTTCCCATTTCGAGCCCCTTACCTTGAGGGAGCGCCTCTTCACCTTCTTGTCTTCTGTGGCCTGGGGGGTCTTTGGTCCCTTGGCAGAGAGATGGGAGAGGTGAAGGGAAACAGTTCTCACAGAACTGTCACACTTTCCCCCCCTAAACCTCCCGCCACACAATCTGAAGAACCCTTTTCACGTTCAAAAGCCAAAAACCAAAACCATTAGCCCATTTTCACACCAGGATCTGGCACAAATTCTCATACAAAGAACAATGTGACAGACCAGCTTTTGTGTTAAATATAAAAGAGTGGAACAGCCTGGTTTTGCAAGAATTAAATTTTCATCCAATTTTCTGTCAGGTCCTACATAATGCCCAAAGCTAAAATAATCCTCAGAGCTACAAGCGCATCTGTCACACGTCTGCAATGTCCTGATCAACTGGGCTGCCTTTCGAACTCCCACACTGGAGACCTGCTCCTATCCCCACGGGCCCTGGCAAGTCCCCCTCTCGTGTACTCACAGTGCTGCCCGGGGCTTCTGCACGAAGCGGCGTGCCGCCCTTAGCCGGCTCGGGGGAGCTCTCCACGGCGGACAGCGAGCTGGAAGATGAGGGAGAGAGGAGCGACTCGTTCTCAGGGCCAGAAACGCTCTCCTCCTCCCCCTCCACCTCGGCCTCTGCCTCGAGGGCCTGAGGGTGCTCGCTGTGGTCAGGGTCCTGTGTGCAGGCTGGCTGGGAGCTGGGTGAGGCACCTTTATCAACACCAACCTCCTCTTCCTCCTCCTCAACCTTTTTCTCCACTTCTGCAACTGAGTCAATTGCCCCACCCCCTGTCTGACTGTCCAAGGGGCCTGTCTCCATAGAGGCAGTGGTGCTGTGGGGCTCAGGCATGCTAGTCGGGGTGATGGAGCCCCCCGCAGGGGCAGTGTCCTGGGCCAGGGCAGGGGAGGGGGCAGTGTCTGGGGCAGGAGCAGAGTTCGAGTCCTCTGTGAGGTCGATGGTGACGCAGGGCTCAGGGGGAGCAGTCACCCTCCTCGCCCGGCTCATGAAGCCATCCAGGGGCCCCCGGCCGTTGACCAGGATGGCACTGCGGGGAGGAACAGGCAGCGGGCTGCGGTCCTGCTCGTTCTCGGTGTCCGAGGCGCTGCCCTCTGGGCTAGGCGGGGCAGGGGGTCCTCGTGTCCGTTTGGGCTCTCCATTCTGCTTGGGCACAGGGTTTAGGCGTTTGAAGGGCAGACGAGCTGGACAGACAAGGAGAGCAGAGTCAGGCTTTCTCAGTGACAGAGAGCTCATCAAGCACACCAGTCCACCAGCCTGGGATAAAGAGAGGGGCTCTGATGATCCCTGCCCCTGAGACTTGACGCACTTGATAAACAGCCTGCCCCACCAGGGTGGGAGACAAGGAGACAGACTCACCCTGGACCAGCTTCTTCGCTGCAGAGCTCGACTTGGTCTTGCCCTCCATACCTGCAGACACACAGCACAGTCAGGAAAATGCCAAGAGAGTTCACTTCCTGTCTCTCCCAGGCGGCAGCGTTAGTTTCTGGGCACCCCAAGTACACCCCTGAGGGCCCCTAGGGGCACCTGTAAACCACTAAATCCCACTAGCCTGTCACAGTGCCTGGCTGGAGATGAGGGAGCAGGAGTACAAAGGGCAGCATGAAAAGAAACACTTGCAGACAGAGAGAGATAAATTACAGAGCTCTGGAATACCTCCCAGACAGACCAAGAGACTCTAAGAAAGAGCAAGACCCTGAACAGCACCCTTCCCCACTGAACCCGGGAGGCAGACTGGATAGCTTTATCGGCTTTACATCTGCCCAGCCGGCTCTCTGCTAGATTAAAAGACGGGTGGAAAGAAATGGGACATCTACAATAGTTTCCGAACTGGCGTTTAATGAATGGGAAAGCCGGTCACACAGGTGAAGCGCACGACCAAGTCATCGAAAGCACAATCTGCATCAAGAGATTCGGGCCCGTTTCCCGACCAGGGGGGACACGACAGAAAACATCCGGCTTCTGCAACGCTCTTCACTGCAGGTCTGCGGGCTTTTACTGCTCTGCAAGACCCACCGCCGCCCGCGATTCACAACGGCCCCGCTGCCCCCGACAGCGTGCTGTTTGAGAAAGTGGGCGCAGGAAATCGTTCAGTTCAGAGAAAGCGTGTACTCTCCCGCCTTTCAGCAGAGCCGGAGCCCCCGGAGTGCCGAGCCGCTGGGCCTACACGCCTCCCGCAGTCGGGGAGCACGGAGATCGGGGGTGAATGAGCCCCAGCAGTCCCGATGGACGGTCCTCCCCGCCGATCTGGCCGGCTCTGGGTATGATGTTGCCGGCCGGCCCGATCGCCTCCACACCTCGACTTCTCCTGTCGGGGCCCCAGCCCGCTATTCGATATCCGGGTCCTGCTGGCGGGGTCTGTTACAGCACTTCCCCAACGCAAATACCCTTCTCTCCGGCGCCCTGCAACCCCACTGCCACCGGACAGCAATCACAGCTCCAGATAGATCACTTTAAAAAACAAAACAGCCCTCAAACGGATCTGACAACACAGCCTGTATGGGTCTATATCTGCCAGGCAGGGCTTAAGAAGTGCTTTTAATGCTTGTTTCGGGCTTTATTTTCTTTGTTTCTTCACAGCGAGTCGAGCGGTCCGCACTCCCAACGGAGACACGGACACCCCGGCTCCCGCTGCCACGCCGGCGACCCCCGTGACCAGCGCTGGGCAAGTCCGGCTGCAGCCCGACCGAGTCAGCCCCGAGTTACAGAACCGGCGCGGGAGCCCCCGACACACTCCGTGCTTTTTAAACCGGTACCGCGATTCTGACGGCAGGGCCGCGAAAATCCCCTCATTCTAAACTGGACCCCGACAACCCCCAACCCAGTCAGCCAGCAGAACCCCCAGGGACTCTCACAGGCCCGCGGTCCGCCCCGGGCTCACCTCTCCTCCTCGGGGTTTGCGCTAACGGCCCCTCCGAGGACAGCTCTTCCGCCGCCAGCATCGCTCCGCGACACTCGCCCGGGAGCGCAACACAACACCCCGCCGGACCGAGTGGACCAGCTCGACAGATTCTGCCCGCTCCCCCTCACAGACTGAGGTTTCGTGCTTGCGGCTAAGAGTTCTTATTCAACTTCAAAATCTTCTTTCCAAAACTTTAAACTATTTTTAATTAAGCCGCTGCCCTCCCGAGCTCCCTCTCTGTCTCCCACTCTCAGAAGGCGCTAGGAGCTCGGAATTGGCGGGAGTCTCGCACTGACCCCAACAGCTTCAGCTGATTGGCCAGATGTCGGAAACTACCCAAGAGGGGGGCGGGGACTAGCCTATGATATCCTGAAGGCTATCCCCCCACGAATACGCCTCTTCAGGGAGCTCTCGATGCTCATTGGCAAGTACTTGGTTAGTCACGTCACTCTTAACTATAGTTCTGATATGTGATTGGTTCAAGGGACACTGGCACAGGTGCGTGACTGGCTCTGCGAAACTGTCGCTCAGAGAAGAGTAGTCGGCAGGAAAGGAGGTGATTTGCCAGGTGGTTAGAAAGCTACAGGAGGGTGGCCGCTGATTCGTGCGCGGACTTGTCAGGTTAAAATGAGGTGTTGCTAGGCAACCAGATTGGGTGCAGAATCTAGAGACAACGTTCACAGCTGGTATTGCAATCCTAACGGATAATACAAGCACACAGACATATTCAAGAACTAAACATAGGATTGTTATAAAAAAAAAATCAGAATCCATGAAACTGAAGGTTGGCTCCGCTGAAGTCTTCTGTGCTTAGCGTGGCTCTGCGGTTCCGCAGCCTTCCAGGAGGGGGAGACACAGCACCACACAAAATAACACAAAACAACAACACAATCTGCTTCCCCAGGACAAAACGTTTTTCTCTTTAACCTCTCTCTCATACAAATAAAAGGAAATATAAACTTCCACAACATGACAATTTTCTCTTTTTTTGCGATATACACATATAATAATGACCAGGAATGTGTTTTTCTCTACTGGAATCTGAAAAAAAGACATCAGAAGATCAGAGAGATATATAGAAAATAATATTGCAATGGGGTCTAAACCAATATATATTTTTTTAAATACAACAGCAAAAGAACAATTAAGGAGATTACAACATGAGAAACGTTTGGAAAATGGCTGATGGGAGAAATAAATAATAATAATAATTAATAATAATAATAATAATAATAATAATTGCTTACACTTATATAGCGCTTTTCTGGACACTCCACTCAAAGCGCTTTTCAGGTAATGGGGACTCCCCTCCACCATCACCAATGTGCAGCCCCACCTGGATATAAAAATAAAGATCATATCTTAGGATAGTACACAGAGAGTTCTCTGTACAGGGAGTACAGATAAGGGGTACATGTTCTGATTGGGGTGCTGGAATTAGCAAAGTACCCCTAATTTAACAGAATAAAAGGTTTTCTCAAGGTTAATGAATTTGAGGTTTCCGATATTCCAGTGAGTATTCCATGATTCTTCACAGTCTGAACTCTAGGTCCGGCCTGGAGCTCCTGGGCCCAGAATCGGCCCACTGTAGTCGTCTCTAAGATGCTGGCAGGTGGCAGCCCAGATGCATTCTGGGATGAGAAGTACAATGGCTTCACTCAGCACAGATCAAAGGTCAATACTGTTGTACTGCCCAGAGCCAGCTACTGCAGTCTGGAGGTCAGGCTGCCTTGCCTGTCCTCAGCGTCTCTGCAGTGGTGCTGTTGAACCTGCTGGTCTGCCAATCCTACATGCTGTGATGAGATGTTTCACCCCCATTTCAGTTACTGTGATATGGACATGTCCAGGTGATGTTGCAGATTATCACGGAGTGACGCGCTCAGTGCCGGCAATCCCATCCTCCTTCCCAATTCCTGATGGCACCTCAGTTCTCAACCTTACTAAACGAGCACTGGGGCTTCTGTTCACCATCCAGTGTTGATCATGGTGTCCAGTCTCACTGGTCCTGTCTGTGTCTGTGACAGTGTCCACTCTCACTGGTCCTGTCTGTGTCTCACCCAGTCCTGTCTGTGTCTGTGCTGGTGTCCAGTCTCACTGGTCCTGTCTGTGTCTCACCCAGTCCTGTCTGTGTCTATGCTGGTGTCCAGTCTCACTGGTCCTGTCTGTGTCTCACTGGTCCTGTCTGTGTCTGTGCTGTGTCCAGTTTTACTGGTCCTATCTGTGTCTGTGCTGTGTCCAGTTTCAATGATCCTGTCTGCGTTTATGCTGGTGTCCAGTCTCACTGGTCCTGTTTGGATCTCACTGGTCCTGTCTGTGTCTCACCCAGTCCTGTCCATGTCTATGCTGGCGTCCAGTCTCACTGTTCCTCTCTTGTTGCCACTGTTTGTTTTCCTGTAAACTTAATATAATTTAATCTTCTATTTTTTTCCTGTTATTTTCCTTAACCTCAGGAAATACCTGGTAGTTCCCCTGAAAACAAGGTAAAGTTTTCATCTCCAATCTGGAAATACAGAGTGTGAAAACCTTTTTTACATTGAAAATCTGGGAAATGATTTTTTTTTACAGTTTTTAAATCTAAAGATTTATTTGTCTAGTCAGGCTTTTAATTAGTGTTTGCCTCTTCTCCTTTTTTCACTTTTTTATCACTGTCTTTATCTCTGTTCAATGTTACTTTGATGTTTTACGCTGCAAACAGCCCCAAACACTGTGGGTGTACATGGGCACTAAAATTAACGCTTGTAAAATTCTCTCCCATACCGAAACTGCGCGTACCCGCTGCCCGCCTGGAACTGACTTCCTGGGCAGCAGGTGGCGCTGTGCGAACACAGAGGAGGTCGCCCCCCCCCACCGCCCCTCGAGGCTGCCCTGGAATGTCCGTCGGTCTGCGGCTGAACAGGAAGTCTCCGCGGTTGCCATGTAACTTCCTGCAGGGTCCTGGGAGTCCAAGAGACTGCAGGGCCGGGTGGGTTCCGCGCAGAGAGCGAAGGCTGGGTTATAACCGAGAGAACCGGGGCTCCGCCTTGCAGAGAGGAGCGATTCCGAGTCCAAGATGTCTGTGGCGGGGCTGAAGAAGCAGTTTTATAAAGCCAGCCAGGTCAGTGCACAATTTGCTGTTGTTGTTTTCGTTTTATTGCTATCTTGGTTGCTTAGTCTTTCTGTTAGTTGGCTTCGAGTTGTTGTTTTACACGTCAGCGCGTGTCTTGACGGTTTTGGGGTGACTCTTGTCGTGTCGTTACTGCCGGTTGTGTAACTCTTGTGTAGCGATAGTGTGTTGAAGCAGGTCCTTGGACGTCCAGAGAGTCGATTGACTCTGACTCGTCAACACGTTTCTGTCTGTGAGTATAACTGCGCCTCTGTCCGCACGCTTGCTTTTGGGATTTTGAGAGGCTAATTAAAATAGGAATAGTTATATAATATCTTAGGGAAATATGTGTAGTTTGAAGGACAGTTTGTAGCAACACGATTCTTAAAGTAATTGTTATTTTTTTTTCCTGGGACTGTAGCCCCTAGTGTGTTCTACTGGACTGGGACTGTCCTACTGGACTGGGACTGTAGCTCCTATTGTGACATGGCTGTCCTACTGTACTGAGACTGTAGCCCCTAGTGTAACAGGATTGGTCAACTGCACTGGTATTGTAGCCCCTATTGTAGTGGGACTGTTCTACTGGACTGGGACTGTTGCCTGTATTATAACAGGACTGTCTTGCTGGACTGGGACTGTAGCCCCTAGTGTAATAGGATTGCTCTACTGGACTGGGACTAGCTTCTATTTGTAATAGGACTGTCCTATTGGACTGGGACTGTAGCCCCTAGTCTAACACGATTGGTCTACTGCACTGGAACTGTAGCTCCTATTGTAACAGACTTCTGCTGGACTGGGACTGGTCTACTGCATTGGGACTGTAGCCCCTAGTGTAACAGGACTGT